TGGGAGAATACTCCTCGAGTGCGAGTGATGGCGTTCAGATTTGGCGAGAACGATCCACAGTCCAACGTTAAGCGAAATAGCCCAATCGGACAGATCCTTTTGCTAAGTGGGCTCTAGAAGACACACTCGCTCGCATAAAGTAGGTTCCTGTCTGTCCATGATCATGACTCCTAGGGCTAGATTCTTGAGTAGAACCTCAAGCGAGTATTTGGGTCTAATATAGTTCTCTGTCCCGAGAATCTTATTCCTCAGGACCCGCTTATTAGCAAGAGTGAAAGCTTATTTATACCGGGCGTACAGGAATTAGGCACCCAGGTCTATATGCTCTCTACAGGAGAGCCCAGAGCCTGGAAGATACCCAAGGACTCCGTTATTTGCTTGTCAAACTTCCGCTACGGTGTTGGCAACGGATCACCACTCCGCGCCGCATAGTCCGGAAAATCTCCCAGCGCCCGCATGTCCTACATCGGAACCCCTTGGCATGCATTTTTTTTCTATACGGTCTCGGTAATCCGTAGTCATAAGCAGCGTATCGAGATATTGAGATTAGGTGGCCTCGGCGGCTGCTCGGGTCCAATCGGAGCTCAGCATTTTGGCTCACTTCCGCTTGACTTGGAACGATAAAGACAGGACTCGGGACTCGGGAGATGGTCTGCTTGCATATTCATACGGCATAGGATATGATTCTTCCAGAACAAAATTCCAGCCCTGTATGTCTCCAATTCGAGCTTCCGTCCCTTGATGCAATTAATCCCATTACCTACGATCTTCCCTCAAGCCTTCCAGCCGGAACTCAATGGAAACCGGATATCGACGGAAGATGAGCAGCTTGCCCTGTCATGTATTGACTATCTATAACTCTTCCCTTAGTAGCTAGATGTACCTTGCCTGGACTCCTGTTGTGAACAGAAAGATTCCATGTTACTGTGGGCAATGGTGGGTGACTGTTTCTCCCCTTCTCGTACTTCACAGCGATGCTAGCGACAGGCAAATAGGGCAAGGTCTGGTTGAATTACTTTGGAACAAAATCAATATTTAAGTCCTGGTACTCTGAGCAACCGAGGATATCCCCCGCTAGCTCTTCAACTGTATGTCCCCATACAAAACTATAGCAACCGTCAATCAGCGTTGTTAACCCCCCTTTCGCTTTCGTTATCCTGGCTTAGGCTGTACTTCTTGATCGTCAGCGATACAATTGCCATGGTACCACAAATAGCCGTATAAAAGATCCACATTTTGCGCAAGCCGGGAAGAAGAGCCGTTTGATTGACACCCCCCTCGTCAGTCTCGCCATCTCCATTGAGGCTAGACAAACGAACATCCCCTAACCCACTCTGCGCCACCACACCCCCGATAACTAGCGAGAGAGACGTGGCCAGATTCTTTAAAAAAGTTAGAGCCGCATTGCCGGTGGCCACATTCTCCGGCTTCAGGGCACTTTGAAACGCAATCATCGGTGCTTGAAACAGGGGCCCAGCACCAACACCAGCAATGAGCTGGTAGACCACAATTTTCCACAACACCAACTGGGGCCCAAAATCAATGAACAGGCCCGTCCCAGCCACCATGAACGAGCTTCCAAACCATATCGCTGGACGGTATGCGCCCGTGCGTTGGACGAAGAATCCGCTCGCCAGGGTCATCGCGGACAGAGGTAGCACCATAGCAAACAAGTATAGACCCGACTGAATGGGGCTGACATGCAGGACAAGTTGAAAGTACAGCGGGTTGAAGTAATCATAGGCGATAAATGTGAAACTGTGAAAGAAGGCCGTCAAAAAGCAAGGGATTGTTGATCGGCTAACCAAACTGCGGAGGGGTAAGATGGGGCACTTTGCGACAGACCACTCATAGTAGCCAAATATCGCAAGAATCGCAAGTCCTCCAATCAGTAAGCCCAGTGTGAATGCGGAGTCCCAGTTGTGCTCGTTGCCGCTACCGGATTCAAGTCCATACAAGAAGCAGACAGTACCCCCGACAACGAGAACAGAGCCAATCCAATCAAACGAGCGGAGAGTGCCAGCAGCTGCACGTACTGGTGCAAGACGCAGAAAGAAAAAGAGGACCACCAACGAGAGACCATCAAACGGCAGGTTGATGTAGACTGTGGTGCAATGAATCAATGTAATCAGCAAAAGACTACCAAGGTAACGTCCGACAGTCTTCGTAAGGCAACTCACAGCACCATCTCCAGCCAATTGTTTGTGTAAATACGCCCCCCAGAATAGGGCCAACACCACTTGAGATAGCCCAAATAATGCCAGTCAGAGCATAATATTTCGCCCTCTCGCGGAGCGGAAATAGATCTGCCACTATTATGGTGACCATGACAATGATTCCTCCGCTGCCCACACCTTGTACTGCTCGTCCTCCGATGAGCATGAGAGGGGTTCTGCTCAGCGCACAGACAAGGCTTCCACATAGAAAGACAGCATTGGAAAGCATCAAAATTGCTCTCCGGCCCCATATGTCTGATATCCTGGCCCAGAGCGGTGTTGTGGAAGTACTAGCCAGAGTGTACGCGCTGCCAACCCAGGTATATTGTGATGTTGTCGCATTGAGGTGGCTGGCGATGACTGGCAATGCGGGTGCAACTATAGTTACGTCGAGTGCAGCCAGAAAAAGGCAGAGGAAGAGCGAGATAATCACCAGATGTGATTGGAGTTGTTTCCGGCGAAGGGATCGGGCGGATAAAGAGGCTCGTTGCGACCTGTTTTCCTCGGCGTCATCTGGCAATGGATCTTGTGAAATCATTATTGTCGCAAGGCTATCAAGAGCAGAAGCTGAGTGTTTTCAAAGGGAGTACGAAATCAACAGAGCTTTGCTGACATGGTTTTCAGCACAATGGGCCAGCAGGGAAGAAGGATAGTCAGAGCAATGTCGAGGAACAGCGCACCCTTCAAAACAGCAAAACCTCAATTTCTCACCTTTATCCTTCCGCAAGGTCATTCAGTGGGCAACTACTGTTAATTTCGCAAATTTGAACAATCATTGGTGAGAGCTATGGTGGGCCCGAGGTTCTCTCGGTCACCTCCGAACGATGTCGCTCGGGTCCAATCAAATAGCACACAGGCAAAAAGTCTTGGAAACAGGCGGATCGTCAGTCAAGTCTGAACATTCAGTGTCTAGTGAGAGCGCCTTTCCTCAAAGACACTCCTTTCTGGCCCATATCTGCCCATGCAAAAAGACACTCGCCATCCTTGTAGTCGAGTGCAGCACGTCATAAGCCAGATAGACTAATCCTGGTGGAGGAAATGAAGGTTGACAGAGGTATGGATACAATAAGACATTGCCCTGCTTATGGCAGCGTAGCTTGATGGTTTATTACCTTTAAGAGAGCAATCATGCTGAATCCTACCTTGACTTTTGATTCGAGTTTCTGAATATATCGGCTTCCAAACTTGTAATTTATATGCCGTAATAGTAAGATGAAGTTAAGCTCAACTCATTGTATATAACTGCAGACACCGCTTTCAAGATATATTAGTATGTGTTTCTCTTTTCCATGATGGCTATCCCGGCTAAGTATACCGCGTATGGTGCACCCATCAACGGAGAGTCTCCCAGGGTGCTTGCTACTACTAGCTAGAACCCCCACAAGTTGGACGGCATTTGAGGTATATACAGAGTTTGTTTCTTGACAATTTGGACTGATGAGTATGTTTTCGGTTTTCAACCATCGCACAGCAAGGGGTTATTCAATCTATTGCTTGAATCCCCTGGACAGGTGAGCCGGGATTATAAACCTTTTAGCGCTTGCGGATGCGATCCTCTCTGCATTTCATGAATAGATTTTATATATTTCCGGCTCTCACCATAGCATCTCGCCTATGCAGTTTGTTCTTGCAGTTCTCTCTTTCCTATGGGTGACTGTCCTCCCGTTTGCTTAATGTAACGAAGATGCCGGTTCTGACATATGAGGCGGTTTGACGGCTACAACTTTGACGGGCACTGGTGAGCTCTTACTTCGATTATAGTGACTGTGTTGAACTCACAATCACATAGGTAGTGGCAATTTCAATGGCACCACTCCCAACGTCTACGCGTGGCTTGGAATTCCATATGCCGAACGTCCAGTCGGGCGTCTGCGGTGGGTACCTCCCGCACCTTTGCCGAAATCCAACAAATCTGTAAGCCCCATCAGCTCTTATGCCGCATCCCGTTCGGTACCATAGCCTGAAATCGGGGGAATGGCTATGGAGGATTCCAGAAACGTAAGACAGCAGAGGTGCTTGCGGCGGGATGCAACGGTTTGAATGGAAAGCCCTTGACAAGTTTCATTTACGCTGAACACGAGGTTGACGTTGTTGCCAGAGATGGCACCAGGCTTAACATGCATATCTACCAACCCAAAGCTACCCAAGGTTTAATAAATTTTGGGTTATCCTTGACGGGCGACTAGAAATTCGGTTCACTCTATATGTTAGACATGTGCCTTTGGAAGTGCTATGTGTGGCGATTTGACCTTTGTGGACTCGACAGGTTAGACAGGCTTGATACCCCAAACGTGATGTCCCAAAGCCCACGCTATTATCAATTTTGATAGCCGTGGGGCATGTAAGTCCGAAAGATCTAAACGCCCCCCATTCCCACCTCCCGCCAACCCCGAGGACCATATTTATGGCAAAGGTGCTTCCTAGCCTAACATCGGCACACGAAATCGTATTTGGGGAACCTAGCTGGTAGTGTGAGGGAATCATGTGGGGGAAAGACCACATGTGATCGGAGCGGATGGGATCCAGAGCGTCATTCTGAACAGTATATTAGGAGTCATGCCGTATTATGTCCAACCGGGCTGTCAGAGTGTAGCACTACGATACCCATTCAAGAATGGCTCGCAACGAATGGCCCAGTACCATAAAGAAACCCTCAGGAAATAGTTTCACTAACTGCATAGATAATTGCCAATAACTTCTAATGGGCCCGCTTGTGCCAGATAGTTGTTCAGTAAATACGCGATGGCGATAAGATTCCCAGCTACGAAGGAGAGGTAGTATGCTAAAGCCCCAACCCAGTGCTAAGCTAGGAATAGCGAGGAGATTATGAACCCCACCCCGATCCGTAGTTCCATGGGCTGGTATTATAACCTCCTGGTAGTATAGACGACCAGTCATCTTATCTTTCTATTTACACTCTTGTATAATACCTTTATAGATTATTATATCCGTGTTTTGAAATGCTTGATACTTCACCACCATTTGAATAAATATTGTTCTTTCAAAAAGCAGGTGAGAGGGCAGAAGAAGCTACATACAACCCCACCTGGCGTTCATACTCTTCTCATATTACCGCAAGGCGGATTTAATCCATTTATGAAATCGTAACTGGTGTTGGAATTTAACTTGGACGGTTCCTAGTAAAACGGCGGGCCCGGTGGAATGAAACAACTTCGAGAGGCAGAGAGTAATAGTAAACGATATATACATCCTTCCAACACCAACACCAACATACACCCGTCAGCCCACTCTCAACAACGGGTTAATAAGAACCGCCTAGTCGCTGGTCACAAAGAGCTTCCACCCCCCTCCCCAAACTCCGTCCAAGGCACTTGCTGCAAAGTAGCTCATCTCCACCCACGGAGGTCAATCATCCTACCACATTCCGGCCGACCGGCGACCCACTCAAAGCTCAGCTCCAGGTGACAACGAGAGATACACGCTTATAAAGTGGTTAGAAACAGCTGACGACTATCTCACCGCTCCTGATCCGAAACGGCGTTCCAAGCGACCACGGAAACCAGGATATGTCAACAGCTTTCCATGCCACTCCTTCAAAACTTGGCAGTGGAGAACTATCAATAAGAAGGATTAACGCCTCTCTTCTCCTTTCTTAGTTGTGCCACTGCCATCATCATATATATGGCAAACCTTTCTGCCATTCTCGCCGGAGATCTCTGCGCTGATAACCCATTCTTTATCGTCACGATTGAAATGAGATTGGTGTACGGGATTGTCATCTCGATGTCTGGTTTCGTGTTAGCACAACTCAACAAGAATAATTTTTTTAGCCTAAACGTACTTGATGTCGACTCTCCTCAGCTTGCCAAGTCTCTGCAGTTCATTCATCACTTGACTGAACTCAAGATAACAATATAGCAGGGAGTCCAGTATCAACGTACCGCTTCAGCACCCCCGCCTGGGCCTGTGAATCTCTCCACGGCAGACCGCCACTTTGGAGATAGTTTGTACCTATCGAACCCGGCCCATTCGAGAAAAGCCCGAGCAGATGTGCTAAAGAGGCGAGACATGGTGTATTTGCTCTATAGGGTAGAAGAGTCAGGAATGATAACAGTCTGAATGTTCTCAAAAAAACACGACAATGGACAGTATTCGAATGTGAAGTGAGAGACAGCAAGAACTTTAGTTTGGATATTGCATTGCCTTCATCAAGAACCCTGTTGTATATATACCTTCACATCCTTTCTTTTTTTTATCCCACAGGCCGTTCATCAAGCGATACGATTGTTTCTCTTCCAAGATTAAGCGCCTTCCCTCCTGGACGGAGTTCCTCGCATCCATTGCATTCAAGCGGCTGGCGTAGTATGTGTTTCAAGGAATACTCAGGATGGCCTTTGTCAGTGGTGTAGTGATGATGGTACATCAAATTATGTTTAGCCTCGGCGGCTATCAATAGGCTCATTTGTTCCCAAATTCCTTAGCGCCTCACGCTTTGATCTTCTCTCGAGGCGAGAATAATAGCCCCTGAACTTGCAAGCAGAAGCACGACTGGATGCTGCCAGCGCGGATGCTGAGTCAGCAATCTCCTTCGTAACGTAACTTCGACTCTCATCAGCTTGATTCTACATTCTTCCTGTCTCACCTCAACATGAACTAGCCTCTTCTCCTTCTTCGCGTCCATAATGGCTACCCTCATAAAATGGGCTACCAAGGCGTTTCGCAGGCCCCCCTCCCCGCCTATGTGTTTTCCCACCGGCGGCTTCGAAATCGTCCGTGCCTCGGAGGTGCTGGATGAGGAACGGTTTGAGCATTTCAAGCAAGGGCAATACTATCCTGCTAATATTGGCGACGTACTTAATTTGAAATACCAAATTGTTGGTAAACTTGGTTTTGGGACTACTTCTACTGTCTGGCTCGCTCGTGATCTTGAGTGAGTTAGGGCAGATCCACTTCTTTTAACTAACCACGGACCCACTGACACAAACAGAGGTCATCAATATGTGACACTCAAAATCTACACTCGTGATGAATGTAATCGGGAAGAGTTCCAGATTTATAAGCAACTAAATCAAGGGAGTTCATGGCACCCTGGCTATCCTCATATAAGGAAAGCACTGGATATTTTCACAATCCCCCGTGCTGGCGGTGACCATCCGTGTCTTGTTCAAAGACCGATGTGGGAAAGCTTCAAGGACCTACTGTGTCGTAATCCAAGCCACCGATTCACTGAAGATCTCCTCAAATCCGGTCTCATGCAGATCTTCCTGGCACTTGACTATCTGCACACTGAATGCAAGCTCGTCCACACCGGTAAGAGGTATCCACATGGCCTTGTCAAAATGCGTTGTCCTAACCTGCATTGTTATAGACATCAAAAGCGATAATATTCTCCAGGACATAGAAGACAAGTCAATCCTGGAAAGCTTTACCCAAGCTGAGCTGACGAACCCTTCTCCCCGTAAGATCGTCAATGGTTTGCCAGTATATGCTTCACGACGGTTCGATTTGCCGAAGATATTTGGCCGAGCAGTTTTAAGTGATTTCGGATCTGCTGTGCAAGGAGACGAGAGGAGGAATCACGATGCACAGCCCAATATTTATCGATCACCAGAAGTCATGCTAAAGACAGATTGGAGCTATCCCGTCGATATATGGAATGTTGGTGTTATGGTATGCATTACCTGCTTACTCTCGATATCATGTACTAATCACTCGGGAATAATAGGTGTGGGATTTGTTTGAGGGAAGACATCTTTTCCATGGAAATGACGCTGATGGCAAAGGATATTCGACTCGGGCGCATCTTGCAGAAGTCATGGGCCTTCTAGGTCCACCTCCGTTAGATATGCTCCAACGCGGAAAACGAAGTCATGAATTCTTCACCGAGGATGGTAGGTATCCATCTCTCGTTTAATATACTTTACAAAGGCTAACGAAGGCAATACTGTAGGGCAATGGAAGCAAGACATTGAGATCCCGAGAGAAGCTAGTTTAGAACTGTCGGAAGAGTTCCTCGAGGGAAAGAATAAGGAGATGTTTATAGCTTTCATGAGAGGGATGCTTCAGTGGCGGCCTGAAGATAGGAAAACAGCGAAGGATCTTCTCCAGGATCCGTGGCTGAATGATTAGTTGGAGCAGCTTAGAGTTTCATTGACTTATCATCATCATAAACACGCTCCACTCAATGGGGTTGTTTACTCTGAAAGTACGCAGGTGGGTACCGGCAATAGAACTACACTGCTTGATCGGTATTTATTCTATGGTCTCTATAGATGCAAGTAGGGATGCCCTGAACGAGCTGAAAGAAAGACAAAAAAAGAAAAAAAAAAGTCCCAACGCTATTTAGACTAACACAACATAGTTTGGCGGCCTCTATTGATACAGAATCCAGCCGTCCACTCACGTTCCCGTAGAGCTTTGGCCAGGCCATTATGTATCAGTATTAGCACAGGAAAAGACGGTATTGCTAGCATCATTATGAATAGCCGTTCCCGAAGCATATAAGCCCAACACACAAAGGATAAGACCAATCAGTGCAATTCCAATGTTGAGTATGGTCAACAGAATTTTACTTGGGCTGGACAGCCATTGGCCATAGTTCAGATGCAGCCAGTAAATTCCACTCAACCCATAACTGAACCAACTGGCAAAGAGGGCACTCTGGAGAGGGGTTAGCGCTGTTTTTTCAAGCCGTGATGAAGAAGACACCTACAATCAAGCCATTTAGGTTGTTGAAGACAGGGATACCCTCGGAGATAATCCACGCTACAACCCAACAGATGACGCCTAGCGCCAGCCAGATGCTGACAGACTTCCAGCTGCGGCTGTGCAGTAGGTCTGACTTGCGGCAGGCCCGGAAATAGATATACTTCAGACCAATATGGCCGTTTACAACACCAGCGCCGACAATCTGATCTGGGTTAGCAATGTTCTGTGCGTCTGAAGAATAGAAATTGGTTCGCACCGTGGGGATAGCAATGCCATAGGCAACCTTCTTCATTACTGGTCCGGCAGAGGTCAAGGCAGGAGCGTGAACATCAGTGCCAACGTAGTAATAGATGACAACAGCGGCAGTGAGGTACAAGCAGATCTCGAAGGACTGCAACATCAGTAAAGACTTGTTGAAGTCCTTTGGATTCTCCATTTCAGCAATCAAGCCGAAGAAGGCTACATGCGCGCAGTAGGCGAAGACAATATTGGACACGGCCTGGAATCCCGTGTACAGGTTTGTCTCTACCGTGGCATCAATAGTCCGGCCAGGGAAGTCCTGCACAGACACGGAGATCATGGTAATCATGACTGCACCAAAGATACTGAGGAACGAGGCAAATGAAACCCACGTCATTCCCTTCATTGTTCGCGGGATAGATAATATCATCGAAATGAGCATACCTACCACACTGAAGACGATGGAGCAGGTAGCGTGCTCAGTAATGGTATTCATCATGACACGGAAAGTCAAAATATGACTTCCCATGACGAAAATGCAAAAGAGAAATTGGCCTAGACCGAACAGCTCGCGCCCAAAGCGGCCGAGCAGGATTTCTCCGGCATCTGCCAGACTCTGAATGTGAGGATACCGCTCGCGAAACAGACCAATATTATAACCTGTGTACAATGCAAGAAGACCAAGGCCGACGATCAAGATAACGCCTCTAGTTCGCTGTTAGTCACCACATGTGCATCTCCCTTTCTCGCAATACTCACGGGACGAAACCCAACGTAGCCACTGCTGCTGGCAGAGACAGCACACCCAGGGAAACAGATTCGCAAATCATGACTACCTAACAATTAGTGATAGCCTTCGGTGTATGAGGAAGAGACTGACGCAAGCCACATTGCCTAATTATTTTTTAGCCGCTGATATATGCCTCGTAGGGACATGAGATACATACCACCAAGTCAAGGTCTTGTACTTGATCTCAGCGTCCTCTTCGCTTCCGAATGCATCCTGGACTTGGCCAGCGGCGATATCCCTCTTTTCAGCATCTGCAGAGTATTCGTCTTCTTTCTTGTCCACCCCATGTGGACCGGGGTAGGCGGGTAAGACATCCATGGTGTCGGCTCTGCGGGATTCGGAAAAATGGCTAGAGGAAAGTAAGGTCTATAGAATCAGGATGTGAGAGAGATGGAAGGGGAAAGGAGGTTAAAAGGCGTGGGAAAAGAGTCGAAGCAAAGGAGACGGGCAAGACGGGGGTACCGTCCCCATCGTACGGTGGATCCTGGGGTATTTGGAGGAATCTGGACTGAAACCGCCGTAGCCCATCTCCAGTGCGGAGTAGTATGATTATTCCCGCATTTTCCTGTTCTTGTTACCTAATTCCAACGGCCCTCAACAATTCAATGGAACATGCTGATGTGATGTGGGTCGAGAGAATGGGCTCCAGAACCCACCACTGCTGCCACTACCATTGGCCCACGAGGCATTAAAAAACATGTGCTCCATATTTCCCTCACGTTTGCCTAAATTCTTGTGGGGAGATAGCGTGGCTCCCCAGATATCATTCATCCTTAAGCACGAGTTGCCGGAGGATGGCCTGATACAAGCCTTCCATCCGTTTGCGGCATCAGATCAAAGGGATATTGGGTTATTTAAGGTTTTCCCCCGATTGCCTTTTAAGCACCGGACTAATCAGGAACTGAGAATCGGAGGACGAAAGGATTCGCTGGTTGCACTCTGGCTGCAAATTAACTTTTTACGACGATTCTAGAAGAAGATGGGCAGGCACGTATGGCGTTGTCTCCGACCATTCAATCCTCATATCCACTCCTAAATTAGGTTAGTAGTCTAGACGATCCTGCGGCATGGTTCCTCTCACTGGCCGCACCCTTTCTAACCTAGTTTGTCTCACTAATCCTCATTTCAGCCGCTCTAGGCGACGGCTCAGGATCATCAATGTAACCCCTTGGCCCAAAGTTTGGAGATCCCTCTCCGAATAACGCAAACCATATTTGACTACGTTTTGTGGGAGGCATGGCACGCAGTCGACTAATCCCGCCTGATCCGAGCGCCATTCCGGAACCTCCTAGTCGCATGCTTCGCATCGCCCGGTGCCCTCGGTGAGCAATTATGACGGGTGTGATCGGCGTCACCTTGACTCCACCAGTAGATGGATTACGATTGGCAGGAGTTCCCAGGACCTGACTTGTTATTGGCCATGTACCAAACCCGGTACCGACCCTTCGCTCTCATGTTGTGTTGCTTCGTTAGGCCGAGGATCGGCCAGAGTGGCGGTGGCGGCTGCTATCTTATCGGGCCCGAAGAAATTCCTTCACGAGATTAGTATTGTCAGGACCAACTGGGCCCAAGATATTGCGTATCTTCTTTTGTCCTCATATGTACAGCACCGATGATAACGAAGGCAATCTCTGTCGTTGTCCCTCGGAGACGGCGAGTCCGTTTGCCTCCCATCTTTGGTATGGCCGGCACAGGGCGGATTTCTCACACTCGTCACATCGATGGGCAAAGGCAGAGACAGAAGTGGCCCTGACCCAGCACGAAAAACCCTAAGACCATATTGCTTCCGGCTCACAGATCAGTTGCTAAACAAGAGATGACCTCATGTCCGGAGGAGCAGAAATCACACATAGTAGATACGCAAAGGAAATGTAGTATTTGCATTTCCAATACGTAAGACGTCACCCCTGCCAGCCCGATATCTGCCGGTTGTTCTGTCAAAATCAAGCCATCTAACTGGGGAAAATTAAGTCAATTAGAAGAACAAAGGATCAGGAACCATTGGGTAAAATCGATGGTCCGTCTTGTGAACAGCCACGTAGTCATTAAGGGGCGGAGCCAAACTGAAGTTGTAAGCACTAACGCTAAGGTTAATCCACAAGGGGTAGTGCTACCAAACTAGCTGGTGATGTACTCCGAGTATGGCGCCGCTAGTATAATAGGCTATCGATCTTAGCTTTCTACTTATGTGCCTTGGTAGCACAGCAACGTGGGTTATTTTACTAAGATACTTTGTCTAGCCACTACGCCATAGCTACAGTTTTTGTCCTTTATGGGAGACAGAAACAAAGCATGATTGAGAAGTGTAATGTATGACATGCTCTGCTTTACTCATTGTTTCAAAGTCCATATTAACATTCACATTGTACAGGCGCGAAAATTTCAATATCCCAAAGTCGTTCCAAAACACACCAAATAAGTGTCGGTTGTATGTACATCCCAATACCCTGAGCGACGAGTATCCCGAAATCAGACTACAGCCTTGCCAACTATCAAAGCAACAGATGCCGGTGCTAGAAAGCGAAAGCGAAAAACGGTTGATCATCTGGATAGCACGCCTACTCATATAGAATATCGTGCCGAGCATGGAATCTATGCCAGCTGGTCGGCCACCTGCTCGAGTGCAGCCTTTGCACAAGCCTCATCGAAGTTTCCGCCGGGAGCACCTCCAACACCGACGGCGCCGACCGTCTCGTTGTTGACTGTAATTGGCACGCCGCCAGCGAGAATGAGAAAATCATCCACCGCCACCATCTGAGCAGCACCGGGATTTTGGATGCTCTCAACCATGTTACTGGTTGCGGTCCGCGAGGATGCGGCGGTATAGGCCTTCCGGCGCGCCGCGTCGGGGGTGTGGATGGCAGCATTGTCAGCGCGAAGCAGGGCACGCAGGACACCTTCACGGTCGACCACGGCTGCAGATACGCTATATTGGTCCTGGGCACAGTTCTGGACCGCATTCTGCGCAATTTCGAGGGCGAGGTTGAGTGGAATGTTCTGTTCTTGGAGGAGGGTCGCGGATGTAGCGGTGGAGAAGGACGCCGCCATGCAGCCAGCAATCATCCAGAGCTTGGTCATCATTTTTGCGTTTGTTGTTGTTTGGGGTAGTATGCCGGTTTGTGAGATTCGGGTAATGCAAGGTTCGAGGAACGGTTCGTATAAACAATTGATTATACAATGGTGTCAGGCAGTAGGCAGATGAGATTCTATACGGTCGTTCGACACATTTATATAGAAGCGTCAAGCGAAGCAATACACCCGGCGAGCTGCCAAGTCGCCGGCGACTCGCCACGAACCAAAGTGGCAGGGCCGAGCCATGGAATACAGTGCTGCGCCTCTCAATGAGAACCCGAGCCGAGGGTTCAGGGTCCAAAAGGCGGCAGCTCCCGTGGGCCAAGCCGCCAAGCTAATATACCAGTTAGCTATGGCAACTGTTTGTCGATTGACTGGGGTAGATCGCAATTACTTTTCCCTCAATGCTGAATGGCGAGTGGCATTGCCATTGAGGTAGCGGTGCCAAGGGCGGGACAGCGGAGATCCAACAGTGGCCACTATTCCTAAGCGACAGCCAAAGCAGTATTCAATCGCGCGCTAGGCAGCGACATTCTGAAGAAACCTCGCCGCGGCTTCTAGGTCATGATATAATGATATCTCTCCAGTCGGCAACTACCGCGCAACGCATAACGGCGAGCGCCGTACCGACCCGTGGCATGGTGGTTGAATGTACCTGTTTCTAACATGGTACTCTTTGTATGTCTGCTGCGCACCGTTGCCGATACTGTGATTCGCTCAACACATAGCACTCGGATTACCGGGCGGCCTTTGCAGCAGGATAGGGACCGACTTTGATCTGTGTCCGTCTCTCGGCGGTGAGCTTTGTATGGGCTTTGATGTTGCGGTGGTATCAGGAGAAATCAACGGAGTGAACCAAGTAGCCAAGAGTAAAGCCCGGTGGCACTGCTTTTTAGCTCATAGGATCGTACATTCTGCCACCCTCATTTGGTCGTTTAGATGGTGCTTGCAAGGTTGGTGTAGACTGTTCCGGGCAGTAAAGGGGACCTGATGATTTATCACCACGGCGAGACCTATTGCTTCAAGATATGAGCATTACAATGCCTTGCTGCTCTATAGTAACTCGATTTCACAATACTAAATTGGACAATCCATCCGGAGCAGGACTCAAACTCAGCATACCGACAAGCCAATACAGCTATTGGCATAAGGTGCTCGGAAATGTGTCCGAAGCTAATCCTATCCTACCTAATTTCATCAGCCATATTATAGTTTCTCTGGACTCATACCGTACTGTCCGAAGTTCTCTGGCTAAAAGTGAATTACTCTGAGTACTTGACCGATTATTTTCTTTATAAGAGTGATATCTTGATAATCACTTAATATACACAGTTCACCCTGTTGGACTCACAAGGGGAATTGCAGGATGACCAAAGTATGGTTCATACGTGGTTTATGGTATTCTTTTCATGGCGGCAGGCATGGTGGTGAAATTAGTCTCTTTGGGCTCTTCCAGCTTATCATTAATAGCCCTCAGAGAGAAAATGTCAATAGTTTCCTGGGTATGCAGTTATTCCATTAGATCGCGAAGGATATGGACTTCCCCTGATCTAAAGGTAGTTTGTACAGGGCAGTGTCCCAGGACGCCAGACCAGTCAGTGCAAGGACGTCTAAGTTCCCCTTCCTGGCTGGCAATTCCAACATTATGCAATAACTACCACCACAACACGACATCACTCATAACACTCATCTTTCCACAATGAAATTATATAATGTGAGATTGTGTATAGGGGATAGAACAGTCAAAACCAAATGGTTTGTGAGATCTGTGAAATGACGTCACTCATACTGAACTGGTTAGATTTTAATCGCAGAGGGATACCATGGCATTTATGATATACGATATATGAGACCAGTTTCGCGCATAGGCCAAAGGTTCAGCGTCTTTTCCATGCCCGATATGAAGCGTTTGCAAGAAGTGTCTCTTCAATTTCCAGTAAAATTGCTATGTGACGCGGTCCTTGAGGTGGTATGTCTGTAGCGCTCATAGACGAAATACATCAATATCTCAACCTGAAGCGACCAGCATATCGTCATACCAAGCCCACGATATCACAGTCCCGGGTGAATGTATCCATACTCGGTTTCGCTGTCATCCAATACAAAAACAGCCAACTCGCTCCACCATTCCCCTGGTATCCCGCAAATCAAGATCGCGTTTCACGTCAGTGCAAAAAGCAACACGATGCCAACAATCACCAGTCCGAACACTACCAAGGAGAGAGTGCCTCCCCCACCTTGTTTCCGCGGGGGAGGAATGCCGTCCGGTGATGATGGGTCATAGGGAAAGGCAAAGGTACTGTAGTTTTGGGCCTCTGGGTCTGGGCTCCAGTGGGCATGTGGGGCCAATGTTGAGGATTTCCCGGGCTCGGTTGGTTTGTCCTGTTGCTTTTAGAATGGTCAATAGATGTTGAAGCACTTGTGTCAAGATCAATCAGAATGGTGTCTTCCGGAGAGGGTAGACCTACAGCGCTAGAAGACGGAGAGGTCGCCATGGTACATGTTCACTTGGTGATCTCAGTACGCGGCGTGGTGGGTTCTGGGGGGAATTAGTAGTTCTTTCTGGGGTTGATGCGGAGGAGGATCCACGTGGCTAAGGGCTCATCACCTGAGGAGGCTTCTCGACTGCATATAGAAGATGATCTGCATGGCCAAGAGCGCTTCTCGCCCGGTGACCGCGTACACCTGACTACAATGGACATGTCCACAGAATGATTTCCAGGGACCGCCAAGAGGTCACTGCACAAAGCTTGTTATTCCGCTTCTTTTTCTGCTTTAGGTCCCACAGCTGCGACCTGCGGGTTGGCTTCAATTCGCAGAACTACGGGAGTACTGGGCATAAAGGCTACGATGTCATGTTTATGAGATACAAGTACTCAGGACCGATATATACCTAGGTATAGCCGATGCCTCCAAGGCTGAGCAAGACCACCAACCATAATTCCATCGCTCTCAGTCAATCCGGTATACCATCTTCTGGGCACTCACTCCTCCCTTCTGTTATATGTCAAGGCCATTGAGGACGAGTTAACATAGTCCGTGTCGATGGATTAACTATTGATAAGCCAAGAAAGCCAAGCAATAGAATACGAGACCATGACTCACGCCATGGTCATTAATATGCCCGGGCCCTTGGATGTAGGTCAGTAGGAGCTTCGAGATACACCTGTGTCTCTTTTTACACACTGGGCGGCCCTATGGAACAACCAGGCTTGGAAGGTCAGGCTTTGGCAGCCTGGGAGAATCATGCTGGATCCTGGGATGCAAGTATGGGTGATGACGGAAACGACTACTTCTCAGTCCTCGAGTTGCCCGTGTTGAAAAGAATGATCACTGGACAGAAGCGAGATCGTGCCTTGGACCTCGCCACGGGCAATGGCCTGGTTGCGCGATGGCTTGCCCAAGAGGGATTCTCTGTGGTCGCGACAGACGGCGCCACGGCCATGCTAGAACATGCAAAGGCGCGAACAGCTATCTGGTACGACGAAGGAAGACTGAGCAAAGAACGCGAGATTCGCTTCGAACTTCTAGATGTGACCAACAAAGATCACTGGGCGCATTTCATTAACAGTGGTCACCTTCTGGTTCGTTGTTGTTTTACCAATTGGGACGCCTGCTGCTAGGGCCGAAAGGAAAGATGATACCCGCGCTGACATTTGGTAGGAAGACGGCTTTGACGCGATTGTGATGAACATGGGGATTATGGATGTTCATGATCTTGAACCATTAGCAGCATCCTTAGCATCCCTTTTAAAGCAAGACGGATGGTTGGCGCTACTTTTATTCGAACTGCGTAATTGGTCTCTGAAAGCCTAGTCTTCGTTCTGACACGTTACAGTTTCATTGCTACAGTGCTTCACCCTCTATTTTTCACGAGTGGCGCACGGCGCCAAATCACAGTCCATGAGGATCCTGTGACTGGCCAACGCATAATAGACCAGTCAATACTGTTGAGCCAATATCAAAATGTGGCGCCTGCCCGACAACTCCTATTTTCTAGTGATAGCGAGCATAAGCCGCCGGTACAGCTCTTCCAGCCTCAACGTCTGCACTCCGAATGACTAATGATAGATGGATAGATCTCATTCCACAGGTCGTTTCAAGAACTATTTGCCCCGTTCCTTCGGGCAGGCCTCATTCTGGATGCCCTGGAGGAAGTGAACTTCGATGATACCTTCCGCGAGCCCTCGCGTGAATATGCAGCGAGGAATTTCACTGAATTCCCGAAGATACTCGCGTTTAGACTCAGACGCGGGCCTGAAGATAGGAATGAGAGCTGTTAAACGGATTCCAGCCGTTGTTCAGGTGGTTGAAGGACTATCTCGACGTTTTCTCGGCGGTCGGATAAGATCACCGTTGCAATAACACAGCCTTAGATACTAGTCCATCTGTATACACGTAATATAGTTGATGATAATCTACACTCTTACATTAAGCCTATTGACTGTTATCCAACAAGACTTACTAACGCCATGGCCGCTTCTATCCGCGGATGAACCTCTTCAATTTCCAAATTGGTCTGACAGATACAAGACATTCATCTAAGACCATCTATGTACGATGGATGGCCGCTGCTACCTAAACCTGGATACTTCTCAGGAATGCCGGGCATTCGTAGCCTTCCACAACTTTAGAGATCGGGGTCAGGTATGCGTCAGAATCGTCCTGCTGTTGTTGTAGATGACGAACATAAGCCTGAGCGACCTTGAGCCACAACGACTTTTCGCCTTCACTGGCGCCCGCCCTTGCCAGACCCACAGTCGGCTACCCACGTCATATAGGAATACATCGTTTCCGTCCAGGTCCGACCGGCGAACGGGCCCGCCATCCTTGACGAGATTGAAGGAGGGCGTGCCCGAGGCGTCGCTGAGGCGGAATAGTTTGGACGGACGCGACGCGCCGCTCGCATCATGGGATCGCTGGGAGAATGAGACCGGACGGGGAGCCTGGAACGAGAGTTGGTCCACCTCCTTGCCCCCTAACAGGTCGACGAAGATCTTCGATCGCGACTCCAGTTGCGATAGAACTTCCACATCGACGTGCTTCGCCAGCGTCATATCGTTCACCACTTGAGCGGCCTTGGCCTTTTCCATCGGGCTGCAAGTCTTTCCCTGCCACACCCAGATCTTGTCGCCCTTGTCCAAGACAAAGACATCTTTGTCATCGAGACTCTGCCAGCTGGGTGGAACCTCGTACACAATAATCGAGTCAATCCGGCCGCCCCCGGATGCTTGAAGACGCGCAGCAACGTCGTCACCTCCTGGGGTGCTTCTTCTTCCACATGGTTGAATCCTGAGGCCACACCACCAGACCGGATGGTGATGCGACGGAACAGCGACACGAAATCCTCGGACGGCTGTTGCTGGACTTCACGATGCTGGGTCGCCGCTCCGTGCAGGAATTCGTCCAGCTCAACCGTCTTGTACGCGGCGGTGCCGGCCTCGTCCTGGGTTGTTTTGCTGCCCAGCCAGAAAAAGATGTCGTGGCCCAGTTTGTCATCTCCGACTTTGTATGAGTGCAGCACGATGTAGCTGTCCCCGTCGTAGAACTCGCCCGCGCGGCTTTTGGGCCAGGGCACGACCTCGAAGTTTTCAATCCGCCAGATCCACAGCCCGGCCTCCCGTCCGATCTGACCGTTGTTCCAGGCCGGCTCCGTGGCCGCCGAATTGTACTTGACGCGATGGTCGAGATCGGATCCGATCAGTTCCACATTGCTGTCTCTGATGTCATATTCCTTGGGGTGCACTAATCCTTCGTGAGGCGCATGGTGAGTTAGTCGGTTAGTTGGTGGTTGGTTCTGTTTATCTCTGGAGATTTGTTGGCGGGAAATCTTGCTAATGACGCACGCAAGTGGGTCCAGTGGCTGACCCGATGGCGGGGTAATCGTGATAGTAATGAGTAAGAGACTCTAAGTCGGAGGGGAAGAGACACTCTACACAGTGGTGAAGTGGTGATTCGGTCGGTGCCACTGTGGTAGCCTTGTCTTCTGGGTCCTCTCTGGACCATAGGGCATGCCCCGTGAGCGTCACCAAGGACCTTCCATGTGGTCACGTGATACCGTCCACACAGTGCTTGAGATCCAGCTGAATCAGTGCATTTGTCTCCAATTTTACTTGTATATTTATAGTAACTGTGACACGGAGTCTGTGCAAGCTACGGGTTACCTCTCTTACCTCCTGGGTGCGTAGGCGTGACTAAACCGACGCTACAAGACCCTCGTACCGCAAGAGCCAGGTTATATATTTTAATGTGGGACAACGTGAAATATCTTTTTCTTATACATCATACTCCTCCACCTAACTACCACTAGGGGTTCTGGAAAACCTATTTGGTAGCCATTTGACACGACTCAATACTAACTACCTCTTGAAGCGAAGCTCAACGAAGCCTGTTTCGCTTCTATCGCATTCAGAGCAGACACAAGGCACATAAAGTTGTACCCTATCTACAACTTAGACGATTGCTTGATTGCCTGTGCAACAACGTCCTTCAATGTCTGCACTGGCGGCTCGCCAATTAACGCGTTGTCTCGTTGATCGTAGAGAGTGCCTCCTTCGGTCCAGATCCGTCTCAGCGTCAGGATCGTCGCTTCAGGTTTCCCTGCCTTCCAAGCCTCGGACTCTGCTTCACGCAACTGGGGCAGCGAGGTGTACTGGACATCAGGCCACGACTGACCACCGGTCTGGCGCACGAACTCGGCATGAATCTCGGCCGGTGTGGTAGTGAACGAATTGACCTTGAGTGCGCGGTTGAAAGCCACGGAAGGGTGTCGTAACGTCGCCAGCACGAGTGTTCCAACGCTAAACAGCGAAGTCGTTTAGTTCCATGGCATGGCCTGTTTATCTAGAACTTGGGTGACTTACTCTTTCATCGTGGTCAAACTCACTCTCGCGCTTCCATCCTCTCCTAGCAGTGTCGCTTTCTTGGCCTTCACGTCCCATCCACCCGCTACCGGATTACCGGCAAAATGAACATACATGTCGGAATACGGGCCTGTCACAACATATGTGTACGCTAAATCGAACACAATCCCTTCGTTGGGGTTCTCATTCTCCAAGAACGCCCGAACCTTTAGTTTCTGTTGATGCGGCTTTTCCTGCGCTGAAGCGGGGGAGTACTTGATATCTGTGCCATATTCAGAGGGGAGGAACCATTTTACAGTGGGAGAGGCATCGGCGAGGCGGATGAGAGGGATCTGGGAAGCTATTGCGCCCCGGCCCAATGCAGAAATGACGGTGTCAATTCCTGGCCTACGTCAGTAAGGGATTATCTTTCGATTGAATTGGAACCTTGTTTTTCACCGAGGCCATCATGACCATCTTTACTCATGGTTGCTTTCGCAACGAATATGAGTGTAACGCAGAGAGCAGCAACGTACCTTCATAAGCCTTTTTGACAGCATCTTCATCCTGTAAGTCCCCTACAAGTACCTCGACATTCTTGCTGCGTTTCAAGTTATCTAGGAAGTCTTTCTTGGAAGCCGCGGTGGCCGGCGAAGTGAAAATAGCAACCCGGTCGAATTCCTGCCGTGCGGTAAGAATGGCGTCCAAAATATGTGTGCCAATGTTTCCGGTGGCGCCGAAGAGAAGGAGGTTTCTGGGATTGAATGAAGCCATTTTGTGATCAGTTTATCTCGATATCCTACGTGCGTGTATGTAGAAGCATGTTTATATAGTCACCGTGTTCAAGCTGATCCTCATCCTGCACCTGGATTATTAATCCTCATCCACCTTGAGTGCGGGGTTTGGCCCAATGAAAACTAGTAGTTATAGAATAGTGGAGCGACGGTGGAATCAGTGGAAGGACTTGAGTGGCCATGGCTTGACTAAATACTCCACTATATTTGGAGCTTGAGGCGTGCGGTGGGCGGTGATAGAGACCCCAAAGGGTAGTCACGGGAGTAGTAGATTGACTCCAATGCGTAGTCCTGGAGAATGACATGGAGCCAAACCAAGGATTCTGATATTGCGAAACTCATGACTTAGCGACTACCAGGTACAATTCCATCATCGAGTCATATAATTTTAGTAGGTACACCACTATCTGGCCTATATTTTCCGTCCTTAGGATCCCATGCCCTAATAATTGTAGCCAGTCTCAAACTAGAGTCGTCGTCGTGCTATTCCAATCAGAGGCAAACTGTATAACGTCAGAATCTGTATTTCAATCGAGTGATGGTATGACTAAATGCCTTACATTCCATGCATCGATACGGAGCAGTGAAGAGTTGGAAGTCTTCTCGACATTGGTCAAAACACCGATCGCTAAAGTCATCCGTTAGCAAAGAAGATGTGGCATGCTACCTCCTAGCTACAGAACTGACTTACCAACAATATTGTTCAACCAGTAATATTTCTCGCTGCCAGTCTCGAACACTAACCGGAGATGGAGCTGGCCAGAGGGAGACTTCGGACCCGAGGTCTGAATGAAGATATTTTCGCCATCGTGCGTCCGTAGATTGTAGCGCGTGTCCGCCGAGAACACATTGCTTTGAGGATCAGTCAACCCCCAGTCGGCACCGACATCGAGGATTTCCCCTGGTGTGGTGTTAGTGCGTGATACCTATGAGCTCATCAGGGGTCGCTACCTGAAAGATGGGGACCGGTGAAGTTTCCTCCGACGATGGGGATCGCTTTGCGGATCCCATGAGGGCCAGGAGATTCCATAAGCGTGCCTTCACATTTCACATAGGCTGTGTAGAGAAAGCTCAATTCGGGGGCAGTTGGATGTGCAGGTGAAGCCGTAGCTCCATGCCCGGCTTGAGAAAGTAGAAGAAGCGGCACGAGAGTGCTTTTCACGAAGGACAACATGCTGCGCGTCGATGCTAAAGCAAATAACATTAAAATCCGGGGTACCCCGCAAGTATAAGTATGCTTATGCTATGGTGGATCTCGAATACCGTAAACATTATCCGGATCTGCCGCACGGGTCCTCCTAGTTGTCCATCTAGCGTTCGGCACTTGCTGGCTGGGCTCATTACCATGGATGCCTCGGCTGATTCGCCGCTAGGGACTCTATTTCCGAGAGACGCTCCACACAAAGCTATAACATTGGTGCATAAATCGTCTCGGTATGCCGTGGTTCTATCAATACGGCATGCGGAAGATCAGAAACTGCCAGAATTACCATTTACGGTGATTAGATACACGTATTCCCACCAAAACATGTCATGCCTTTGCTCGATACCTTTGACATCATCCTTGATCAGCTGCCGGTAGATCCAAGTCGGGATTCCTCCATAAATGATCGTATCCCGTCTCAAAAAGTGGCCTTTCCGAGGTTGGATGCGAAATTTGCATCCTTGAAGGGAACATTAGCATCTCCGAAGTCCGTGTTCTCCAATGCCGTACTGGCAGCGGTAGGGAGACTCTCCCAGGCGATCAAGGGTTGTGTACCGCCCACAGTGGATGTCAGCCCACATTGGTGATTCACTGGCCAGGTACTGTAGTACTGAATTAACGGGCTGGTGCCATCCAGACTGTAGCCATCTGTCGAACAGTCCCAGCCCCCATGTGCCGACGGGCAAACAGCGACGATGTTATCAGCGGACGTGGAAGTAGAATCGGACAGCCAGACAATAACACCTTCCCAATCATGGCGGTGGCCCAGGCCGGTCGATGGCTCATCCTTGGGAAAGTACCAAGAGTACATGAGGGCATAATAGTCCCCGGATGTGCCGCCTCTCACATAAATTTGACCGGTACTGCTGCTGCAGTTCCCACTAGGATCCCCAGTAGGTTCGAGGCCGGCACTGTTGACGAGGATTAGGATGCAATGATATCGTTTGTGGCGCACATGAGAGCGATCTCATGGATGGGAGAGTAACTAGGACACCTACTTCGTATTGCCCTCAGCATCTACCGCTGGGAATGGCACGCAGCCATTGACCACATACAGAGCCGGTTGGTAAGCCAGATACACCTCTCCAGTGGTACCGCTGGGGACAGTCTGGTCAAATCCCACGACAGCATCATGGTCGATGCTTGCTCGAGGAAGCACGGCACCTCGAGCGTGGGATCCCAGAAGAGCAGTAGTCAAGAGGAGTGATGATTTGCGGAGCATGTTGAAACAGAGAATTAATTGTACTAGTCTACCGGTGATATCTGTACAAGTAGGCGACACCTTCATGAGTACTTATACGTTTATCAGTCCTACACAGCAATCACCTGGCCTATCTACGTGCCTCCCAGCCTGTCAGTAAGCTCACAGGCATAGCTTCGGACAAATTCTTTCCGAATTGCCAAAGTACCGAATTGCTTGGCCGAATCCCGGCAAACGTGGCGGATTTCATGATGCTCAGTGGATGCTTGGCAATTTAGTTAGTCTACTTAAAACACGCCGTCGACCTTAGCTCGAGTGCTGAAGAACACAGCGAGGTAGAGATCGACGTTCATGCGTTCAGATGCAGAGACCTGATAGGCCACACATTGTCAATGACTTTTTCATTAAACAAACACGTATGACATTGGCTACTACTAGTAGCTTGGAAAATAATTAATATATACAGATCAAAACAGCCTTCTCTATCTACCTTGATAAGGCGAGCAGCCAATAACAACACCATCACGAGTCGTGTGCATATATGCATGTCGACGGACACTGCAGCTGCAATGCAGAATGGGGGGTATAATCTGGCTAGCAGTATCGGAAATTAAATGTCCAGCTGGTCACCGGGTCTTCAGTTGCCATCCTCAGACAAGCGTCATTATAGTATATCGAGAAGGATTCTGTCATTCGGCACGACAGACCATTCAATAACATCTTGATCTGTCTCACTCAGACCAGCCGGAGACATCATGTCCCCACATGCTACGTGGGAAGCTGACTTCACGTTCACGTGTGGGTCACGATGGAGTATCGAATCCGGGCTATTGATCGTTTCCGTAGAGGTCGGTGAGGAGGGCACGGAAGAAGGATATAACTCTGGGTGATGGGATGCCCATCCACGTTTTACGGCCAATATCGACTCGAGCGGCATATCTGGCTCTGCTCCGGGGAATAGAAACTTGAAGGCGGATTCGAAGTGCATCACGCGCGATTCCAAATAGCTCACATACCAGCGCTGTAAGGGGCTTCGGACCTTCTTGGAAGCGTATGTGCAGGGTCGACCGGATTCCCTGCAGTCCGTACAGGATGGTCTCTCCTTAGAACACTGCGCAACGTCTATCAGACTATAGACGAGCCAATGAGCTGGACAGTGTATACCTTCTGCTTCCGGACTCGGCACTCATTGCACTATACTTGACCGGTTACTTTGCGCTCAACGAAAACTCCCCCAGGGACTTTGCGTACCGCATAAAAACGTGGATCGCGGCTATTGATCATGTTGCGCCTGATACTTCGTAGGTGTGTCTCCATTTCCTTTCGCCTCAGCGCTCGAATTGATCTGCTTGTGGCTCGGGCGTCGAGTGATTATAACTTAACTATCTCTCCTAATAACCTTTTGGCTTCACGATGTCCTAACTCGTGATGTATCCGTGATTATTGCCAAATACAAGTGCTGGAATTGTCTTTAATTGTTTTCCTATGGAAATCCGAGGGACTCGCCGGGTAAATGTGGAGAAATCCGACGAGAATCCGCTTCAACCGACATCCCCGATGCTTTTCCGAACGACGTTGAACGGCAGCTTGTGGCGATACAGGAGCGAGATACCAGCGATTGGGATCTCTGTCCTTTTGCTAGGGAAATAAATAGAGACCAGGAAAACAAGGCTGCCAGGACGGTGGAGGGAATGGGGGAGATCCATTATGCATGATTCCGCCTGTGCAGACACGACGGACGATAAGCTTGTCTGGTGGATGGTACAACAGTAGAAGCATGCGAGCACTGCTAGAGCTATCTAGGATAATTCTCATCTCAGGATATACTATAGGGACCTTCTGCCCTCGAGGAAGGTGGTCAGGATATATCAGATGGCCTTTTTATGGCTTATATGAGTAGTATAAAATCATAAATCCCCCCCGGACGAGCCCGCCTTGGCAGTTCTCGCCTAATTTCTGCCGAAAAATGCTTCAACTTCGACCTCGCTGGAGTTGCTCGTTGTTAAACACGCAAGCATACCAAATGTAATCGTCTACTGGTCACTATCAGACACGTCAGCACCTGGTTTCCCCTTTCGCCATCCCCGTCCTATTTCCTCTCTTTATATCGCTCGAGTGGCTTCCGCTTTCCTTCCGCACTTCCCGACATGCAGGCGGAAATGTTGGCCAGCGACGAGAGTCCAGCCCGGAAGATACGTAAAGTCACCCGCGCTTGTGATGCATGTAAGAGAAAGAAGAAAGCCTGCACTGGGTATCTTCCCTGTAGACCTTGCCTGAGGCGCAAGGAGGTTTGTACATACAATGCCACCTATAACCGCGGTGTCGCGGTGAGCCCACCCCCGTCCTCGCATACGACACATCACGCAACCCTGCCAGGAGCAGCAGAGAGCTATCCACAAGACAGCCATCTGTCGTTGTCCTCCCCAGCCTCCTACACCTCGCCGGATAAGATACTGTCCGCCCCCTACCACGATGCTCCCCCTACCGTGATCTCTCCGCCGTCCGTCACAGACACAAGGCATCACCATGAGCCCGAGATCCAACGGGCGCAAGTTGCGGATCGGTACTGGGGACCTACCTCTGCTCATTCCTTCTTAGATCGAGCGGCGTTGGGATTGCCAACGCCTCCATCAAATGCGATCGGGGCTTCGCATGATCCCAGTCATGGCCCGAGCACGTCCATATTTCAATTTGGCGATCGTGTGGTTCCAGAATCACGCGTGACGGAGTTCCAATGGCCAGATTTAGAGACAGCGGAAGCCTTAGTCCATCGATACTTCGAGTTTGCATCACCGACGCACCGGGTGCTTCACCAGCAGACGGTTGAGAAGACGGTCCAGCGCCTCTACCAGGGCGGACAGCCGGGCGAGGAGCGGGTCAGTGGAGTGACGAGTGTCTGTCAAGCCATTCTCCTGATGGTGTTCAGCACCGCCACCATGTTTAAGATGGATATCAAAGGCGCGATGACAGATGCAGATGCAGACGGCTGGCGGACCAGTGAGCTGTATTTCACCAAGGCGGATTGTCTGCTGTCACAGGAAAGCGGTGCACCTAGACTAGAGTCGGTGCAGGCCAGATTCCTAATGGTTCTGTACCTGCTAAGCTCATCACGGGCTCATCGGGCGTGGTTCACCTTAGGAACCACCATTCAATTGATCATGGCACTCGGTCTCCACAGCAGACGACGGAATCGGGACACGGCCGAAATTAGTCTGATACAGCAGGAATGCCAACGCCGAGTCGTCTGGTGTTCGTATACGTTGGACAAGTATCTGAGCCTGATGCTGGGTACGCCCCGCCTCTGGCATGATGAGGACCTGGATGAGAGACTGCCTGCCCGTGTGAACGACGAAGATATCTCCCCCGATCGGATCTCGCCGCCAACCCGAGACTGTGTAATGGATGCGGCTATATTCCATGCCCTGCTCGCCCGCGTACTATCTCAAGCCGCCAAGGAGCCCTACGTGGTAGCTGGCATTACCGACCGAGAGGAGATCAACATCATCCGCGGTTTGTGCGAGCGAGTGGCGGAATGGCATGCAGAGTTGCCGCCGTGCCTATCGGGAGTCATCCATTCCAGTAGCCTGATTCCCCTGTTCAAGCGACAACTGACGGTGCTGCAATTGGCGCGATACCATGCGCTGATGTTCATTACTCGGCCGCTACTGTTGCGTAACTATGGCCAGATTTGGACGGATCGGGAGGCCAGCTACGTTCAATATCTTCGTGTATGTCTCATGGCGGCGAAGGACACCGTCGAGCTGATCACCACCTTTGCCAGAGACAACCAGCTTTTTCCGGCGTTTTGGTACTCGCAGTATATCGCCTTCAACGCCCTGTCTATCATCTACATCTACTTGATCCAAGTACAGTGTAACCGAATTCTACCGCTGAGCCAGACATATGTCGCAACCGAGGGTGGCCTGAACAATGGACTTGGTTTTGATGAGTCCACGCTCTACATCCTGGCAGAGACTGCACAATATCATCTCACACATGCCACGGCGAGGAATGCACCATCTTGGAAATATGGAACCATTCTACAGAGTCTACGGCGAGAGCTCGAGCGGTTAGGGGCACCGTGCGACTATGCGGCATTGAATGCGCCCCCAGAACAACACGGCGGGCCTGGGATAGAGAACAGGAACCTGGATAATACAGAGTTAGGAGGCAACATTTCTCATGCTCATCCTGAGCCTCGCTACCATGAACCCTTTCCTGTTGACGCGCAGGCTCTCCCGCTATTCGATACTTTCACTTTGGACAATGACTTGATCCTTGATTTGTGGTCGCAGTTGGATAGTTTACCAATCAGTGCGTATCTTTCTTGCCAGTCTTCCGTATTGATCAAGCTAACAGTCGCCGATATAGCCTTGCCAGGATGACTATGACCTTGAATGTATGATATACGACGGTTCACGCGAAAGGTTTGTCTCGAATCCGATCCTGCCCTGCCCTATAGAACGCATGGGAAATAACACTCCGACGACTCCCAGGGTAGGTCTCTACATGGACGTCCTAGAATAAATCAACAAGCAATCATAAAGCCAAGGAAAGTCTCCGTATTATATTCACAAGTGGCCCTTATTTCCATGGGACAGCAAAGCCCGGCTTTGCAATACCCGCTGGGGTTACGCTCCGTGATCGCCTAGAAGATATATTTGTAGCGTATTTGGCCATCCTCGTCCTCAGCCTTTCGCGCCTTGGTGTTGAGCCAATAGAGGTAAACAGCCAACAAAATCGAAAAACAAACACCGCCTGCAGCAAAGCTGGACAGAATGATGCCCCCTGGCCGGTACTGCGGAGAGTCCTTGGTGGGGAAGAAATACGAGCCATAGATGTTGGACGAGTTGCCGAAGAAATTGACCATGGCGTAAACAATGGCTCTCTTCGTTCGTGTACGTGGGATAGTACTGGCAATCCAGGCTTGCACGACGTTGAACGCGCTGTAGGACCCCATGCACATAAGGAACATGCCAACATAACGGACAGCCGTGGCGTGGGAGCTGATGACCATCACATTTCCCACGATGTCAATGCAGAGCGGCCATACTATGAGAACGGCTCGATAGTTCGTCCGGTTCGCAATAAGCGAGTTTCCCAGGGCACCGAGGAAGCCAAAGACATACACGGGTGCCGTGATAAGCAGGGTAACGATCTTTCCGAAGCCGAGGGTTTCCACGATGCTCTAGATACAATCCGTCAACGGGGGATAGGTGATAGGATACAGCTGGGAGGACTCACTGGGAAGAAATATGTCCAGGTTTGGGACGTCAGCTGGCAGATCTGTATCAAAACCAATGCCCACACTTTCGGATCAGTCACCGCATCCTTCAAGCCTTGCCTGATGGAGCCGTTTTCGTCGACCTCATTATTTGTGGCGACGGCTAGGCGCCACTCAGCAAAGCGCTGCTCCTGCTGCGTTAACCACTTTCGCTGGCCAGACCGAGGAAAGTCGGGGAGTAAAACTACCGCCAGCAATCCAGCCACCATGGTGCCAGCGCCCTCAATAATGAATAGCCATCTGAAGAAGGAATAATGAGTCAATGGAACCGCGTCATGCCATGCCATGTTATGTTGGAGCTTACCTCCACCCTGCAAGCCCACCTTTGCCGTCTAGTCCACTCAGTATACCTGCAGCCAGCATGCCTCCAAATCCATTTGCGACGGTATTTCCACAGTATACAATAGCAACACGCACTGCCAGCTCAGAGGCCTTGTACCATGAACTCATTAACAACCTGGAAATGATGTCAGCGGGAGAGAAGGTAGCAGTCGTCACTTAACAGGTATGGACATACAAAGCACCTGGGAAGAAGGGAGACTCAGCAAAGCCTAGAAAGATTCGTACGCATAGAATTCCAGCATAGTTCTTCGTTGCAGCCAAGCAGATGGAGATTCCGCCCCACACGAAAATGGCGGCTGGGATATAGCGCGACGGCTCACACGGGTGAGGATAATATTGCTAGGAACTTGACCGAGAAGATATCCAACAAACTGGACACATCAAACGGATTAGTCGTGAATGGCCGATAGAGTTTATGTTTATCTCTTACCATTATAGCCACAGCTGTCTGGTACTGGGTGTCAGAAAGGCCCAAATCCTCCTGTAGCCCTCCCAAGCGGGCATTCGCGATGTTCGATCGGTCGAGAATGTTAAAGATAAACAGCAAGAACAAAGCCGGTATTAAGTGAAAGTCGATCTTGCGCACCACTACTCTCATCAGCACGGTGGGTGAGACCGAATCGAATGTTCTCACATTGTCTTTCCAATTTCAAAGCTTCCTCGTCCGAGAGTCCCTCGAACTGGATGGCTTCGGGGCTTATTGGTTTAGTAGGGTTCTCTACATGGGAAGATGATGATTTCGAATCTATGTCTGCCATGATCGATTGGCTTTCTTTCTCTGCTTCGTCTGTGGCTGAGTTACAAGGGGTGATTATGTGGTTGAACAGAATGCGGAGGGAAAGCAGTGGGAGAAGGCTCCAAATGACAACGGTTTCTTTCCCATACAGCGGGCTGGTAAGGGTTCATATATGAAAGGTACCTCCCCATACACAATTCCCCACCCACTTAAACCCGTCAAATAACCCCAGATTTGTGACACGCCCAATTGAAATGGTATTAGGCGACGGGAAAGGGTCGGATATGGGCAACCTCCTCTTAGATCCATGTCCCTGTGGAGATATGGCACCTGGTGATAACGTGGGGGCTACGGAGAGGCTCCGAGTCTACTCAACAAGACTGGCCAAGGATATATCGTTGACGATCGGCTCCGGCAGTGAAGGCTTTTGGCTGTCAAGCTTTGCCAAACTTCCTTGGCTGGGAGCCGCTGCGCGAAGCAAGTCGGGTAGGGTTTTACCCGTGCAGTTGCCGAAGCCTACCTATCACCATGAAGAACTGCATCTTAGTTCGCTCATCGGCATCCGGCTATCATGCAGCGGACGAAAATCTCTCGTGCGGAGAAGTAAACCGTCATAGACCTGGGCTACTTTTCCGCTATGCTTTTCCGCCGAGCTTGTCGGAAGGCGGAATTCCCCACCTGCCAGTAGTTGGGAGCTCTTCAGGATTAAAGAAGTCTGGGGATTGCTATAACTGTTTGAGTATTTATTAATGTCGCTGTTGTAATTCTGCACATTGACTTACGGCCCTTCTCTCTCTCTCCATTCACGACACGCACTTTATCTCACAATGTCGCTCCCAACGCACTTCACGCTCAATACTGGAGCCAAAATCCCTACAGTAGGGTTTGGCACATGGCAGGCCAAGCCCCTCGAGGTCGAGAATGCCGTGGAAGTGGCACTTAAGCAAGGATATCGACACATTGACTGTGCTGCTATTTATCGCAACGAGTCGGAAGTTGGCAATGGAATTCGCAAGTCCGGGGTCCCTCGGGAGGAAATCTTCATTACTGGAAAGCTCTGGAATACGAAACATGCACCGGAGGATGTCGAGCCAGCTTTGGATAAGACACTCAAGGACCTCGGTGTTAGCTATCTGGATTTATATCTGATGCACTGGCCCTGGTAAGACTCTGTCTACATTGAATCGTACATGAACTCCCCGAACGTTAACACAGACATAGTGCTTTCAAATCCGGTGACAAGTGGTTTCCCCTCAACGAAGACGGCGTGTTCGAGTTAGCGGATGTCGACTACATCACCACCTACAAGGCCATGGAGAAGTTGCTATCGACAGGGAAGGTGCGCGCAATTGGTGTATCTAACTTCAACATTCGCCGCTTGGAAGAACTGCTCGGTCAGGTCTCGGTCGTACCAGTTGCCAATCAGATTGAAGCTCATCCTTACCTGCAACAGGGGGACCTCCTTCGTTTCTGCCAAGAAAAGGGAATCATCGTCGAGGCTTACTCGCCTCTGGGCAACAACCAGACCGGCGAGCCACGGACGGTCGACGACCCTTTGGTACACAGCGTTGCCGGAGAACTGAGCATGGATCCTGGTCCACTGTTGGCTAGCTGGGGAGTCCAGCGTGGTACTGTGGTCCTGTCCAAGAGTGTCACCCCATCTCGTATTGCGGCCAACCTCCAAGTTAAGCACTTATCGGAGGATGTGTTCGCCCGTCTTTCCTCCCTCGAGCGCCACAAGCGTTTCAACTTCCCCGCTTTCTGGGGTTACGATATTTTCGAGGAGGTGGGCGAGGAGGCTGTCCGCAAGGCGGCGCTAGAGGCGGGTCCTGTGAACAAGACCAAGTTCACGGTATAGATGAAATGTGATGATATTGGACATTTCTTTTCATTAGCATCCACCGGCTTGGATGTTTCTTATCTTTGTTAACAGTCTGGAGCTGACCAATCCTGGTCACACTTGTATGTACATGAAATTAAATGGAATAGTACAAAATAGAGCCAAATGAAATATTTATGTGAACACAAGTGCACGACAATTGAGCAGGTAGCTAGTAGCATCAAATTTATTACACGTTGACTGCAGACAGCCCTTAGCTTTACCAACCACCGGGGCCTCCACCAGGAGGACCTCCTGGACCTCCGCCAGGGCCTTCTGGTCCACCCGGGGGTCCATCAGGACCACAACAATCGCCACAGCAGAAGCAGCAGCAGCAGCAGCAACTGTTTGCAGTCTTATTAGCCTCCAGCGGTAGGAAGAGATGAAAAGGGCGGCTCACTCGTCTTCAGGCCCACCACCACCGCGCAGCTGTAACTGCATATCTTCCGTAGGTGTCTGTGATTAACCGGCAATTAATTCAGCGCAATCGAATATCAACTAGCACTTGTGCGGTAAACGTACAGGTTGATTGGCGACCACCTTGTCTGTTGTCGGGGCGGCTGGACTTAAGGGTTGAGCCATGGTCAAAGTTTTAGGATCCCATGTGGGTTGAACATTCTCCTCTGAGCTCTGTGCGTTTGACGTGCCAAACCAACCGAAGAGACCTTGGCCGAGCATGATGCTATACTTTTCTGATTGAATTCGCTGTCCCTATGTTTTCGTTCCTTGGCCTTATAGCAGGGGGAAGTAGCCGGTCTTAAGGCAGTGTCCAGCAAACTCCACTATCGATTACTGCCGACGAGGAATAAAGTCTTAGACTAGGCAGCTGCGTAGTATGTTACAAGTTTTAGGACGACCTTATTTCGTAGCTGAAGCTTTCCCCACTGTGTGGATCCGAAGCTTCTTCGAACTTACGTATGCCTTGGGCTGTAGGGCTCGGGCAAGATCCGGCGTCGGCCCATCTAACCTACTGTCTAAAAAAAGAAAAGCAAAAGAAAAGGGGGAGGTGTGTATTGAAAGAAGTTGAGCAGAGAAGGTACGAGACGACATGGATCCACGCTAACACTAAAACGTTAGCCACAGCTCTAGAAGCAAGTAGCTTGACAATAGACTTGTGACATGAGGGCCAACGAAGGCCACTGGAAGTTCGACACTTTCACACCGACGATGGTTTGGAACGGAAGTACGAGAATATAGCATACCCCTTGGCCATAGAGGATTAAGGGAAGCTAACAACACTAGAGAGCATAGTAGTAACACTAATTGGGTCACTAGCACCGTGATCGAATATCTCCCTGAAGCAGAGGCTGAGATCGACCGAATCTGATAAAAAATAGGTCAAAGACGATTGGCCCGTCTATACCGTACTAGCCTGTTATAGAAATGGAATATGCGTTTCCCGCTGAGTAATCCAGTTCCACCAATCATAGCCACCGGAATAGCCACCAAGCCCCAGATTCAAGTGTGGCGTCGCTTTAAACACCAAGAAGAATAGTAGGAGTAGGAGTAGAGAAGAAAACGGAGTACAAGGAGTATAGGACTGAGATTGAAGTGATGATGCTACAAAGATGATCGACCAAGATTTCCGAAGAAGAACTGTGCCCAGTAGCTGCGTTTGTACTGATCATCACCGCGCCTGAAAAGATATATATCCTGATAGCGTTCAACATCACCAACTCAAAAGTCATATAGCAGTATCGGAAAATTGATATAATATGTCACGAGGAGCAAATGCTACGGCACATCTCCGGTTACATCTCGAGTCCTCTAATATTTTCGGAAAGCGAAATCCGGTTTCATTAGTCCTTGGATTATATCGTAGTAGAAGTGCCTTGTCCGCAAAACAGATGAACAGTGCTCCCGGCTATTGTCTTGCCACCAGTCATGCGAAAGCCGACCCAGCGAAGGACATAACCCCGGATAATGGCCATCCCTCAGTCATCGACTGTCTGGAGAATCAATCGTCTCGGTGGGGTTTTGCGAATCAAATGACGCTGTGTGGGGATTTCCGCTCGAACGCGGAAACGAGGCGGAAAAGCAGTGATCCCAGGTATGTACATCACCAGAATTATGCAATGATCCTCGTGAGTTTCTTGTCGGAGCACCTGAATGAGCCCCGCCTTTTGGCTATTTCATCGGATGTGGGATGTCAAGTGGTGTTTCATATCGTGCGGTGGGCGGACTTGTCACCAAGCTATAAAACTACAGGGCAGCGCAACGGCAAGGAGAGCGAGACAACTGTCGTTAACTGAGTTACCCCCTTACCATGGCCTGCACAGCGCCATCATTACCGGCATTATCCTCGCCGGCTTCGTCGGAGGCTGCTTCTGCTTTCCCGGAAGTCTCATCTCCAGCCACGTCGAATGACGAGTACGAGGAACCCGAACGAGAGATCTACACCATACACGACCTCCTGCTCGCGCGAGCCAACGGAAAAGCCGCTGACGAGCCTATTGTCGCGTACCCTTCTCAGGACATCGATTATGCATACTATACTCCTCGCCAGGTACGCACTTTACCAATCCCGCCCTAACGGGAGTCACCAAAAAGATCCAACCAAGTATTAATCCAGAATCACAGTTAGATGACTTTGTGGAGACCGCGGCTGTTCACTATGCGGAGGTAATTCCCCAACGTCGGTCATCGGAGGATCCTGTGCAAGTCGTGGGTTTGCTGGGCCCCTCTGATTTTGAATACCTCATCACATTAATGGCCATTTCAAGATTGGGACACACAGTACTGTTGCTTTCTACGCGCATCGCCGAGGATGCCTATGTCAGTCTGGTTGACGCCACCAAGGCCTCTTTTCTCATCGCACAAGATGGTTTCAAGGCTATGGCGGACAACGTAAGCAGTAGGACGGGTGTTGCAGTGCAGCCAGTGTTGAAGCGCGAGGACTATGACAATTCCACTACCGGCAAGCTGGTTCTCGACGCCAGCAATCTTGACGGGCCGACGGAGGCCAAGAATGTATGCTGGATCATCCATTCGAGTGGCTCAACAGGGCACCCCAAGCCGGTCTATCAAACGCATGCTGGTGCGTTGAAAAATTACGCCAATAATTTTGGTCTCAAGGGATTTATCACCCTGCCCCTCTTTCATGCCCACGGCATCAGCTGTCTGTTCCGAGCAATTCACTCCCAGAAGCTAATCTATATGTACAATGCGAAGCTGCCATTGACAGCCTCATACTTACTATCCACTCTGCAGGGACACCCGGACATTCAAGTGCTCTATGCCGTTCCATACGCCTTGAAACTTCTTTCCGAGTCAGCACAGGGCCTGGAGTCCTTGGCGCGGATGGAGCTGGTCATGTTTGGGGGCTCGTCCTGTCCCAAGCCGATTGGCGACACACTCGTGCAGAATGGGACTTTACTAGTCTCCCATTATGGGACTACTGAAACGGGACAACTGATGACATCCTTCCGGGAGCGCTCAGATCTGGACTGGGATTATGTTCGACCAGGCCCCTCCTTGCTACCATATATTCGGTGGGAGGAGCGACTTCCTGGGATCTACGAACTTTCTGTCCTAGAGGGGTGGCCATCGAAGGTGGCGAGCAATTGCCTGATGGATCCTATGCGACCAAAGACCTATTTGAGAAGCACCCCACCAAGCCCAATGCCTGGCGTTACTACGCTCGACTGGACGACACGCTAGTGTTGGAGAATGGTGAAAAGGCCAATCCGCTCATTATCGAGGGTGTGGCTCGTAATCATCCTGATGTGGGCGAGGCAATTGCCTTCGGTGCCAACAAGGATCATCTGGGGTTATTCCTCGTTCGTGCAGCGAACGCTGTGAGTAAGACAGACGAAGATATCATTGATGCGGTCTTGCCGGCCATCGAAATGTGCAATGCGGACTCCCCATCTTATGCTCACATTTCGCGTGATATGATCCAAGTCCTCCCTGCCAACACGGTATATCGCGCAACGGACAAAGGAACCGTTATCCGCTCTGCATTCTATCGCGATTTCCAGGAGCAGATTGAGCAGGTTTATGAGCAGGGCGATGCTACTGGTGATCAAATTCTTGAGGGAACTGAGTTGAATGCCTTTCTCCGCGAAAGCTTGCTAGAAGTGGCCCCAACTGTCGATTCTGCTGTGTTGGAGGATACCACCGACGTATTCAGTCTGGGTGTTGACAGTTTACAGTCAATTCGCTTACGCAAAGAAATCACCAAGACGCTCAGCCTTGGTGGTCAAAAGCTATCCCAAAACTTCGTGTTTGAACACCCCTCGATTCAGCGCATGGCAGATGAAATCACCCGGATCCGCCTGGGGCTCGATGCGGACAAACAGATGCCCATCGAAGAACAGATGTCGCAGCTGATTGATAAGTATAGCAAGAATTTTAAAACGCATATTCCGGTACCGCAAGCCATAGATGGCGAGCGCATCGCTGTGACTGGGGCTACCGGCTCGTTGGGTGCGCACCTTGTTGCCCAGCTGATCCAAATGGAACATGTCCAGACAGTCTTTTGCCTGGTTCGGGCAGATTCTGTGCACTCTGCCCTTCGCCGGGTGCGACAGTCTCTTTATGAACGTGGTCTGTTGTACAGCTTGAGTCCCGCTGATGAACGCAAGATCGTTGCTTTGCCCGCACAACTCTCCAACACATCTCGCCTCGGGTTGGATGAAACCACATACACGCAGTTGACTCAGTCGCTGACTGCTGTGATTCACTGTGCTTGGTCAGTCAATTTCAACTGGTCTCTGGGAAGTTTCGAGGATAGCTGTATTGCCGCGACTCGTCATCTGCTGGACCTCTGTCTGGACGCACAAGGGCCTATGCCCGCAAGATTCTCCTTCTGCTCATCTGTCAGCACAGTGGCTCGGACCCCAGGACACTGGGTACCGGAAGAGCTGCCTGAGTCTTTGGCATACGCCCAAAACATGGGCTATGCGCAGTCAAAGCTAGTGACAGAACACATCGTCAACCGCGCGGCGCAACACACTAACATCGCTGCCCGAGTCTTACGTGTAGGCCAAATTGTTGCAGACACCGCCCATGGCGTCTGGAATGCTACAGAGGCTATTCCCATGATCCTTCAGACGGCAAAGACTATCAAGGCTCTTCCTCAGCTGGACGATGTTCTCTCCTGGACCCCTGTTGATGTCATTGCCAACAGCGTCATTGAACTTACATTGGGAACAGACGCAGCAGACATAGTGAACCTTACCAACCCCACGCTCAGTCATTGGACTCGCGACCTGCTTCCGCTGCTCAAAGCCGCTGGGCTAGAATTCGAGCAATTGCCCCAGCGCGAGTGGTTGAAACGTCTGCGTCATTCTAACCCAGACCCAGCCGAGAATCCTCCTATCAAGCTGATCGAGTTTTTTGCCAGCAAGTACGACCATGATCGGCCGAGTCGAGTCCTCCTCTATGACACAAAGAAAGCTCAGGCCGGTGCACCAGCTCTCCGGCAGGCGGGAGGGTTAAACGCACAGTTTGTATCACGTTTCATGGCATATTTCCAAAGCGATTGCTGGGCAAACAAGGAAACAACATCTGTGCCCAAGGTTACCCGCGAGGTCATCTTCCTGGCAGGTCCTTGCGGTTGCGGTAAGAGTACTGCGGCGCAGGCACTGGCGCAACGATTTAACATACCCATCATTGAGGGTGACGATCTCCACTCGCCAGCTTCCCGACAGCGGATGGCCAACAATAATCCTCTCACCGACAGCGACCGGTGGGACTGGTTAGCTCATATTCGTGGAGCGGTGATGGACCGACTTCAACACTCAGCAGCACCAGCGGTCGTAGTAACTTGCTCGGCGCTGCGGACTATCTACCGTGACGAACTGCGGCGCTTGTCGCGACTCTTTGACTTCCCCGTCAACGTTACGTTTCTTATGCTGTCAATCAAGGATCGAGCACAGCTGAAGGACCGGCTCGCTGCTCGATCCGCTAAGGAGGGCCACTATATGAGCTCGGCGATGGTCGACTCGCAACTGGATACGTTGGAGGGTCCGTCTGGCACTGAAAGTGACGTTATCTCGCTAGATTCTGATCAACCGATGGAGAATATGCTTCAAGAAGTAGAGGATGTTGTTCAGGGCTTTCTGAATCTGTGATCTGGGTTTCTTTGTATTAGAATGCTTCTAGCGTACCGTTGTCGTTGTTCTTGTTAGGTTTCTTGCTTTCATTCGTTCGTCTAGATGTCAATAGAGGGACAAATCTACATACCAATTATTCCAATTTGGCTACATCTCTATACACATGTGTACCACCAGTCCTTGGGTAATCCCTGCATTTGAAGGTCGAATCTAAATCGAGGCGGATCCAAGCGGAGGACCTTGTTCATTGCCTGTTTCTTCCTGGTCGGTCGTTACCTGAGTCGAGGGTAGATAGTCTCCATCAAAGCCAGCAAGTGCGCTACTAAGATGCCCTAATAGGAACTCGTACGGATAATCGCATAACAAGATATTAGACCTCCCGAAGAATAACCTTGTGACTCATTTTGCGAAACTTGAAATATTCACGCTTAACCTGACACAAAACAAAGCCATGCGATACACTCACAGAGTGTACTTGAAGAGAGGAGACTTGTCACCCATTGCCAACAATTGATCGTCCGTGTACCGCTCTCTGATCTCCGATTCAGACTGGGCTGCCTTCCTCCGGTTGGCATAAATAAACGAGAGCTCCAGCAGAAGCGCTACAATCAAACCAGACCCACCGAAAGCGAGTGACAAGCCAAACCCGGTATAATACGTGGGGGCCTCCTTATCCATGTACATATAACTACCGATCACGCCACCGGCATTTCCAATGCAGATACTAAATGCAAGGCCAATAGCTCTGCGCCCAGACGGAGCCAGGTTGTTGGCCAACCATGTGCTCGTCGCAGGGTGGACCGGGTACAGCCCCATACATGCAAGTATCATGGCGAAGTAGCTAGGGCCAACGTTGTCCTTCATTCGTCCATGGAACGAGATAACGATTGAGTAGCCAATCGTGACCACCGCCAATGGTATCACAACGAAGGGCATTCGCCAGTAGAAGCGGTCAGACAGTTTAGAGAAACAGATGGCGGAGATGGCACCCGCGATATAAGGGGGCGCAACCATGAGTTGCGCGTTGGTATTGGTAAATCCCATGGCCTTCGTGATGGTAGGCATGGTGAATTTGAGGCCTGTGTATTCCATGATGAGTGCAACATGCCACAAATTCTCAGGGCAGTCAACTAACCGTAGGCGGAGGCAGATTGGCAGAGCAAGATGTACGCCATCATATACAGCCTCCAGTTGAGAAAGACAGCTTTAAGCTCCTCCCATGAAACCCTCTTCCTTTCTTGTTTGAAATCGCCGCCTTCTTTAATGAAATGTTGCAGCTCAAGGTATCGTATTTCGTCGGGGCGAAGCCACTTGCTCGATGTGCTCGGTGAATCAATCAGCAGGAAGAAACACATCACTCCAAGAACTACCGTCGCAAGTCCCTCTAGCAGGAAAATCCACCGCCAACCCTCCTGGCCGCCAATTCCATCCATTTGGGCAATGCCGGCGGCTAGAAGACCCGAGAAAGCCCCGGAGAGAGCACTAGCACAGTAAAAGATCGAAATGCGGTAGGCGAGGTCCTTGGGCATGTACCAGAATGTGCATAGATATACTGCTGCGGGGTAGAATCCTGCTCTGTAGGAATCATTAGCAATGCTAATATATGATTGATGATATAACCTGGGAAAAGGGGACATACTCGAAGACACCCAGTAGGAGACGAGTGACGAGCATGCCAGCGAAGTTTTGTACAATGCCTGTTAGGGTCATCACAATTCCCCAGCAAGTAATGAGAATTCCCAGATAGATTGAAGGCTTGAAAAAGCTCTTGAGCAGCATATTACTCGGCACCTCTGCACTGACAGTTAGCGTGTAGACTCTCCGGGTGTAGTTGCATGCTTACCCAGAAGCACATAGGGAACGAAAAAGATGCTCAATACAATGTTATACTGGATGCCACTTAGTCGCAAGTCTTCCGTGAGTCCTTCAATCTTTGCATTGCCGATGTTGGCTCGGTCAATCTGAGAGATTAAGTAAAGCACAGCCAGCATTGGCACCAAGCGAATATCGATCTGATTTCACGTGGCACACATTAACTTGAATCCCAGTGTAACAGATTTCGGAGAATATACCTTCCACAGGAGTGCCTTTTTCTGTTCCGCCGAGAAATCTGTGTAGAACTGGGTATCCTCGCGACTCAGACCCAGCACTTGGATATTGTCTATGGTGACGAGACTCCTGACACTGTCCACATGCTGAGCAACAGGTTGCTTCTCGTCGGCACTGTCTGATGCCGACATTTTCAGAAGGCACGGATCGATCCAAGGCCAAAAGAAATCAAGGCGGCCGAGAGATTATGATCGAGAAACTTGCAAGATAAGGATGACCCTGTAAGTAGCAGGGATCCTTATAAGCTTAAATATGGTCCGTGACATCATGCTATGGAGAGGTCTGGTTCGATAATGATAATCATCGCTTGCACAATTCTGCGAAGCTTTAATCCTCGCAAAGAGCGGTGTCCTTGCCAACTCCTGGGAGAGCTATCATGATTCATCATCCCGCACGTTTCCCATCAACATCCACTGCCAAGACTGCCCGAGCGACAAGATCTGGGGTTAGACTCTGGGGATGTTCTAACACTATTCCAACACTAATGCAATGACTGCGGGGTGATGCCCAACCATGTGGGAGCCCAGCTTTCCACTTATCTCGATCATCCTACCACGAGACCTCAGCTGGCGAACCTTGGCAAGTTGGGCTCTGCCAAGTAACAGTTCTATTGGGAAACGCATTGATCCGTGTCATCCTTCTTATCAGCTGGTAGCTCCGCTATAAACTCGCGAGCATTGGCAATATCAGAGCGTCGGGGGTACTTCTGTGTCGCTTGCGCGTCACTCAGCCACCAAGTCACTTGCGATGGCGTCAGAGCTGCAGGTGCTGTGGAGACCGTGGGTATAGCAATCGGAGAACTTTGTATGGCCCCTGGTCGTTTTTGAATTTGATCATAGAGTTTAAATCGAAGGGTCCAACACCGTTGGCGATCGTCCAAGGGGATTGTGTACCCCCACCACCCCCGCTACCTCATACATAACCTGATAAGCTTCGAGTAATTGATCTCAGAAAGGTGACTTCGTGAATATTCGCTGTTGGACTCCAAAGGGCCGGTCCAGATGAACCAGTCTCACGGTGGGAGACCGACATGGAATGGAGAGGTTGAGGTTGAAATAGAGATTGAGGCTGTGGCTGGGCTTCAATTTGCGTG